ATTGAATCTTGTTAAACCACTGTCGCATTTACTTAGATCACTGTTTTATATCAATAAACATATTGCTACTTCTCTCTTACAAGTGAAGTGCATCACTCCATCCACCACAGCAATACATCCACACCTTTGACATTTGGGCTCCAAAACAAAGATGGAGCCATTCTGTCCATTCTGTCACATCCTCTGAGCTTAAACTGTTGGCAGGACCTGGCTCATCCTGGGACTCAGTACCACTCAAGCACATGACCTGTAGTCCAGAAGTACCCCTGAAAAGACCCTGATGGCCTGCATTAATATACCGGCATATACTTGAGATGCAAACACTGCCAAGTCATCTCTTATTTGCATCAGGTATTGTCATGGATGAGTGGAATGCACCTCACTCAAAAGAGGGAAGTGGCAATATGTTTTATTGAAGTAAAATAATAATTTTGACAGAGTTTAATAAGTTTGATGGAATTTAACAAAGTTTTAACAGTGGTTTGACAAGGTTCAATAAGTCTGATGGCAAGGTTCACCTTATTAATTACTGCATGGAAGGAACATACAAAGGAAAATTGAGTTAAAATAATTCACACAGAGACTAGAGGTGCAAAGAGTAATGAAGACCCTCCCGTTGAGTCACGAGGTTCAGAGTGGACCCCCTTGCTTCCTAAACTCCTTCTGGAGCCTAGGTGCAGCTAGATCTAATCTTAGTCTCAGACTTGGTCAACAGTTTATGTCTAATGGAATTATCCATACAATGTTTATAGTATTTGAGTAGCTACATGGATTAGTAATGTTTCATAGTATTAATACAGCATGCTGTCAGTCTCTTACTGAGGATGTGTTGCGGGTAAGTGATCTCTCTGCCTTGGAAGAAGCCTTGGAAGGATCTCTCAATCTCGGGTAAGGAATCTCTAACCGTGAGAGATGTCCCTGCTCAAGGGGAGAGTCATCTCATGTGCAGTCCAGCTGCAATTCAGGGAGAGCTCAAATCGGGCCCATCCGGATGGTAATATTTATAGGATGAAGTAGTTGGCTGCTAGTCAATAGTATAGACAAGATAGATGTCTTTGTTTTAGGTCTGATATCTTGTTCTGTACTTTGGTTATCTTGCACTCTGGGGTTTCGAAACCACCTTTCAAAATATTTTTCAAGACACCTTCACTCTCTTGTACTTGAGCCGGGGGCTTTCCAGCTCACAAGTTCACCCCAAGGACATGAAGCCTGTTGCTCTTTAGTCAGCCTGAACCAAAGTACGGTTAGGAGTCAAGTGTATCCATCACAGATACAGAGGACCAAATTAGCAAATTTAGCCTTACTTCTACTTAAACTTTCCTTACAGGCAGCTCATTTTCTGTGTTCATAAACTGTAGTAAAGAGCTGTTTTAGCACAATAGCTTGAACTCTGCCCACAGTGAAGAAGCCATTTTGACAAGCCCCAGTTTTCTTTCCTCCCTGCTCCCTTGCTTCCCAGAAATCAATCAATATCAAAAGCTCTGTATGAAGACTGCATAAGAAAGCTAACTGCAAGTGCCTTTACTTGTTACTATTTTTGTCAGGCATCATGCTAGGAAGAAACTAGCTTTTCCCGCTAGTTTTGCTACAGCTTCATTGCCTTAAAGACAACACTTCTTACCTCTGCTACTCCAGTACAGCCTCACAGCCCAGCAAAATCATACTTCAGGTAGGAAACCTTCACCATAAAAAAGACAGGCGTGCCACAGGAGTACATTACTCTCAAAGAACAGACTCTTTCAACCACTCTTCCTTTTGCTTACCAAAGTTCAGAGAGTGTTAGAAAACAGCAACAAAAAAATCAGGATCCTCTTTCATATTTTACAGAGCCCATTAAGTTCAACATTAAGTTCAACTCCAGTCTGTACCCCAGAGTAAGAAATGCCATCTTAAATTTGCCAGGAAAAGGAAGGGCTTTGAAGTGGCAAAACCAGAGAACATTCATGAAAACACTGTCATGCAGGTACACATCCCTTATCACAGACCACCTGCACTGTCACCTAAACAATTTATGTTCTCAGCTAATTTTTGGCCACTGACATTTGGAAAACAGCACACAGTTTCTTCTTCATTAATGCTGAGCATGTAGGTTGGAATTGGAGCTGGGAAGAACCCCATATGCAGTCACCCTGGTTTCATTTGAGTACATGAGGACGAGTTCAGTTCACACTCACTAGGAACCACAGCAGGACCCATCCAGCCCTCCAAACCCCAACACCACTGTGCAGCGTCCCTAGGAGCAATAAGTGCAGAACAAGAAACCTTCCTTCAAATTAAGGCCCATGAGCCTGCTGTTTCAACAAGATGCTCCACAGAGAATAACCTCTGCTTTAACTACACCTAGCTCTAACTACACCCCAACCCCCATTCCCTGTCCCCCTGCGCCGCTGCGGGGAGGAGGTTCAGAATTCAGGAGTAAAGATAAACCTGGGAAGAAGGAATGGGTGGGGGAAGAGGTTTTAAGAATTGGTTTATTTCTCGCTATCCTTGGTTTGATTTGATTGGTAGTAAGTTAAATTGATTTTGTTTCTTCCCCAAATTGAGCCTGTCTTTTACCTGTGACCATAACACTGGTGAGTGATCCCTCCCTGTTCTTGTCTCAACCCTCGAGCTTTTTGTTATATCCTCATCCCGCCAGGGCCGGGGGGGAGGAGTGAGCAAGTGGCTTCACGGTGCTTTGTTAGCAGCTGGGCTTAACCAGGACAGCCCATCGATCCACCCTCTCCAGATCCCTCTGTAGAGCCTTCCTACCCCCAAGCAGATCAACTCTCCTGCACAACTTGGTGTCATCTGCAAACTGACTGAGGGTGCACTCGATCCCCTTGTTCAGTTCACTGATAAAGATATTAAACAGAACTGGCCCCAATACTGAGCCCTGGGGAACACCACTTTTGACCGGCCGCCAACTGGATTTAACTCCATTCTCCACCACTCTTTGGGCTCGGCCATCCAGCCAGTTTTTTACCCAGCGAAGAGCTCGCCTGTCCAAGCCATGAAGAGCCAGGTTGCTGAAATCCCACCCCATCCCTTGGCCAGCTGCCTTAAATCGATGTTTTTTGCAAGTGCTGCCATGTGGATTCTCTGCTGTCTAACAGGGTTGAGTGGTGCTGAACTTCGCTTCCGAGCAGGAGCACAAGGAGTTTCTCCCCCCCCTTATTCCACCGCTGGGTTTTATGAAGGTTTGTAGCACATCTTCGGGATTTTCACTCTCTGGCAAGCGTGAGTGAGACTGGTTGTGGCTCTGGCTTTACTGGTGGAGCTGCTGGGGGAAGGAGGGGTAAAGGCATGCATCATGCTCACAGCATCTCATCCCCTTGCAGCTCAGTACTGAACCATCCACTTCCAAGCCTGAACCCAGGGCTGAGCAGAGGGACATGGGTGGTTGTGGATTTGTGGGGGGATAAATAACCTGAGGCTTCTCCGCCGCTTGCAGTGGATCTCAGAAGGCTGGGAAGGCATGTCCCCATGCAGGCACCAGTCCCTCACCCCAGGGCTTTGCTGGCCACAAAGCTGAGGGACATAACCAGCAGCTTCCCCCCCACTCAATATCGTAATTAAGACCAAAAATTGAAATTAAAATGAACAGTGCATTGCTTTAAAATTACTTTTGACTGGATTCGTGGCTCTTGTTCCGCAGCCCTGTTGCCCCGAGGAAGAGCCTCATCCTTCCCATTGCAATAACTGGGGGGAAAAAATGTGTCTTTGTCTGCCTTGGGGCACAGATTTGGGGTAAGAAATGCTGGTTTTTGTGCCCCATGGGCACTAACAGGGCAGAGCCAGCCCCATCTCACTGACAGCGGCCAGCAGCTGGCTGCCCAAAACCATGTCCATCCTGCAGCTGCTTTTAGCAGGACGCTAATTGCTTATGTGCAATTGTAATTAAAGCTTTACAGGAAGGAAAAATCCTCTTGATTGAGGACGGGGAAAGGGCCAGGTAACAAGGGAGCCCGATGCACTGAGTGTGCCCATTCTCAATGCTGAGCATACCCTGCCCACCCTCACGTGGCCGACTGAGCACAGAAACATTTACTGGCAGCATCTTAAAAAAATATGTGTATATTAGATATTGATTTCCAAGAGGTTCTCGTCATGATCAGTAGTGGTAGCAGGAACAGCAGCAAAACTGAATTCAAGTCCAGGTATTGCAAAAAGCCCCCCTTGCCCTGCATGTGTCCAGCTGTGACCTGACGGGTGAGTTCTGTCCCCACCTTGAATGCCACCACGCAGCCAAAGGGATGACAGCGTCTTACAGCTCCCACTGGTGCAGCAGCGCTGGCAGGTATTTGGTAACTTGGTGTTTCTTTTTTATTTGCTGTTGGAGCTCAGTTTTGAGATGAAGTAATGCCAAGAGCTGGAAAAGCCCTTTGTACTCTTGTCCTCCAGCCTGCATGGGCATCCCCTGCCCCTGTCCTGCCAGCGTTGCAGGGGCTGGGCAGGGAAAAATTTTAAAAAATTTAAAAAATAAAAAATAAATGTTAAAATTTGTTTTTTCTCTGCAATTCAATGTGGGCAGTGCCCCCAGGCTAGGGGCACTCGGCTGCTGAACTTACTTGGAGGGGGGCACGTGGAGGTGGCTCAGAGGCTGCAGCAGTGCAGGGGGGACCGGGCCAGCTGGGAGAAGGGCAGTGACCAGCCCCGTGCTACCCTGCAAAGTCACCCAAAAGCAGCCAAAAATCACAGTACAAACAGCAGAACAACACTGACAGCTGCTAAGCCAGGTGGGAGGCGGCAGCACAGCCCCTCCAGCCCCAAAAACACGCATGAGGGGGAACTGCTGCTCTTTTAAAACCCTGAGCCAAGCAAGCTGCTCTCCCCGGGCTCCCTGAGCTTTCCCTGGTACCCAAACTCACCCCAGCTAAAGCGAGGCTTAGAAGCAATTATGCACGCTTCTATCCATGCAAAGCTGCAGAGGCTTCTAAAACTTTAAGTGGGCGCCCAAAAGTTAAAAAAAAAAAAAAAAAAAAAAAAAATCAATGTATCTGGAGGGTTTCTTTCCCCCCTAAGCATCTCTTTTCTGCAGACAAGGCAGCAAGGGAAAGCTTGGCTGTGGTAGAGCAGCACTGGGCTCAGCCTGCTGCTGCCCACGAGCTGTGGCAGAAGGCGGTGTGACGAGGCAGTCAGAAGAGGAGGATCTGCTTCGAGGACGTGAAGGGCTTCATGGTGGCCTCCAGCGCTGCCTTGTAGTCCTGGAGCGGGACCTCAGTGCAGGCCGGCGCGGTGAGCTGCCCCCTCCGGATGAGCTGGCACAAGGCATCCATCATGCTGGTCAGGCTCTCCTGGTCTGCAAGGGAAGGAGGGAGCTCTCACCGCCGCGCATCCCGCACCCGCACCGTGCTAGAACCATTGACTGTCCCTGGGCAAACACCCGCCTGAAGCCATTCAGGGTCCCGGGGATGCCGGGGTGCGATGGGCTCCCAGCTCAGGCACGTGGGATGGGGCAAGAGCCCCCAGCATGGTGGCACGCCACAGTCCCTGCCCGAGCCACACCGCCCAGCGCCTGCGTTTCAGCTGCCCTGAGGACTATCAGCATTCACGACACAAGTAAGAACAAAGGGGACGGCACCGGCGTAGCCGTTTGGTACCCGTCCCCGTGCTGACCCGCCGCACCGGTGCCATCCCTCAGCACCCATCTGGCTCACCCTGCGCGTGGTCCTTCTTCCACTGGGTCATCCAGAAGCCGCGGAGCCGCACGTCCCGAAAGATGAATGTGCTCTGCGGAGAGAGGGAGCCGTGTACCCGGGTGAGACCTGTGTGCCCCTTCCCAGTGTGACAGCGGTGGAAGGTGGCAGCGAGGCTCCTCGCTCCTTCGTTAGTGCTCTCATTTGTGAGTCAGGGCACATCGGGATGCAGAGATGCGACTCGGAGGTGTGGAGTCAAAGCAGGTTTGATGCCCGGCATCCGCGGGGCCATTTCACCACTGGGATTTCACAGCAGCCCAAATCCTCCATAAATAAAGCCAAGAGACCTGCACCAGGATGCAAAGCAGCTCGTCCCGTAACGGACCCCATCAGTTAAATAAAAAGAAGGTTGGAGACTCTCAATTTGCAGGCAGGGGAGAGCTGAGCTCCCGTGGTGCCGAGTGGGAGCCGAGGAGACGGGGACATCGGCAGTGGAGTAGAGGGGACATACCCTGAAGGAAATCAAGAGCATCTCCAGTACTCACCACAGGCACCATTACAGGCTGCTTTGCCATACCCCCGTAGGTGACCATGGTCCCTTTGGGCCTGGAAGAGGAAGGGGGTATTCAGTTATGCTGTTCCCAATGTGCAGCTTTGACCCTGCAACCTCTCCCTCTGCTGTCCCCAACCCCAGCGCTGCACCAACGGGGCTGTTCTCGCACCAAGGGCTCCCCCAGTTACCCCTCAGACTCCACCTTCCAGAGCTCCCCTCTTGCCCCCACGCACCATTAACTGAATTTGCAGCTAAATACACCGGTTATACCTGGCCAGGACCTGGTGGACCTTCATAACTGGACCTCAGCGGCCTCCAGCCACCGGCAGCGTTTGAGACATGCACTGATGATGGGTTAACTTTAAGTCACTGCTATTTTCCAAACCCACTTCTTCTTCCCTCATCTCTCCTCTCCAAAACTTTGGTGATTATCGACATCAGCTAACAACATCTCCAGCCACCTCTTGCACTCTGGGGGCTCTGGAGCAGGACCCTCCGGTACCAGTTGCTGTCCCCAAGCCCGTGCCCAAGCCACCACCCAGCCAAACTTACTGCAGATGCCGCAGCATCTCCGTAGTGCTTTTGCCTCCGACGCAGTTCAGGGCGAGCCGGGGCTTCGGGATGCTCTGCAAGAGTTTATCAAGAAGGTTCCCAAATTTTAGGGCTCCTTTTGAGGACGGGACCATGGTTCTTGAGGGAGCAACTGCCTTAACCTCAACATTTACCTGGGGGCAGCTAAGAGTCGTAGAGCTAAAATTTATGGTCTGGCCCTTGTGGTAGCAGCAAAAGCCCTCAACTTCTGAGGCTAAATCCTGATCTAGAGAGAGATTTGTCCTTCCCACCATCCCTGCACCCTTCCCCACAGTGCTGAACCACAGGGACAGCCCCAGACGATCTCTCCAGTACGAGCAGTACTGAGGTACCTTAAATATATCTTTCATTTCTGGCTTTCTCAGCATCTCCTCCGTGATGACATGGTCTGCGCCCAGGGCCATCAGCCTCTCCACCAGCTTTGGGAGATCAGGTCTGGGAGAGGAAAATAAAACAGGGCTCAATGAGCCAGAAAGCAGTGTCACCTCCTCCCTCCTGCTCAGACATAGCTCGGGGACAACAGGGCAGAGGCTGGAGGACACCTTGGAGAAGCAAACAGGAGAAAATCCTGGGTTGGAACAGCAGGATGACCAGATCCAGCTCCCAAACTTGCCCAGCCTCCTGCCAACCTCCAGCCCAGGCTGAGGGCAGCTCCTGCCCCGCAGAAGACCTTCTCCTCTCCCAGGGGACCCACCTGTCCCTCACCACGTTGATGGTCTTGATGCCGGAGGCTTTGGCAATCTGGATAACAGCCTGGCCCACGCCGCTGTTGGCTGCGTTCTGGATGACAGAGTCACCTGGATATAAATAAATCCAGATTTTCATTGCAGAAGTGACTGGCAAATCCACCCGGATTTCTTTCCACTCGACAAAGCCGTACCCGGAGCCAGGGTCTCGAAGTCAGCCAGCATGCGGTACGCCGTGCAGGGGTTGACGCTCAGGGTGGCAGCACACAGCACCGGGATGTCATTGGGCACCTTCAGCAGCATCTCCTCGGGGAAGACCCCCTGCGTCCGCCACGTCCCTGGGGTACCGGCAGCATCACAGGCGGCGCGGGCAGAGCGGCAGGAAGGTGGGCAAGGAAAGGAAAATGTTATGAGACCTCAACTCATGCCATAGCCTTAACGCCAGTCGCGGCAGCATCACCACTCTGTGCACAGTCTAAATCCTGGAAAGTGAATTAGGAAACATTTTTCCATATGGGCATGGTCAAAATATTGCAAGAGGCAGGGGATGGATCCCCCACTGCCTGCCAAGATTTATCACCCAGCAAAGTCTAATCATTTCCCAGAGGGATAATGGGACTTGGGCTCCCTGGGCACAGGGAGTGTGCAGAGCTAATGGAAATACTCCCCATCCTGTGGATGAGCCCATATATTCAAAGCCAATTTACTTAGATTTAGTCCCTCTACGTTTATATCCAATTTAACCCGCTATCATCCATTTACTTTTTTTTTTTTTTTTAATGTTTAAAAATATCACATTTGGATCTTAACTAGATAGCTTTCCTTCTCCCATTAAGTGAAAAAGCCTTTTAAGAAGAAATAGGCAAAGAAGCTGTTACACTAAACCAGAACCGACAATTTTTCTGGCCATTGGCATTTTGGAGGAGCACGAGACATTTGTTGGAAAATAAATTCCCATGCTTTCCCATCAGAACACTATTAAGGAGAAAACTGTAATGGGATATAACCATGACCTTGCACAGGTTAAATGCTTTAGCCTGGGTCTTTAAAGAAGCTCTAAGTAGATGTGACAAAACACAGTTGTTTCCAGAGAAGCAGATTGCTGCGACGCTTTATAATGGCACAGAAGCCCCATAAATGGTCCATGCTATAGAAAAGCAGATTCCTTCTAAATTCAAGTTTAGCATAAGCAATGGCATCACTACTGTTGCTATTGCAAGTGCTGCAGGTTTTCGCACTGCATGTGTTCTATGCACAGGAGCCCCTTCCCCAGGGACCCCCATCCTTCCCCAGAGCCCCCTTGCATCTGCAGAGGATGAGCAGCATCACTTGCTGTGGCTGGGGATCAGATACTGAGCTTGCCTTAAAAAAACCCAAAACATTAAAAATAAAAATACATGGTGGAAATAATAAAAGCTTAAACCAAGATATAAGCAGGTAAGAAATGAAGATGCCTTTGTGCACTCCAGCAGTTATCCTGATGCTTCTTGTCTGAGACAATCCAGCCCATTATATTCATGATTAGGCTAATATGGCACTAAATGGGTTCCAACTGCTGCTTCCCTCACCCAACATTCTCTAATTGAGCTTTTTTTTCCATTTTAAGTCACATCTGATTAGATGTAATTGCTGTAAGCGGGAGGGGCACGTGGCTCTACCCACACCCAGCAAAGACAGTACTTTGGAGAACAGCAGTTTTGCTCCGGAACCCCCAAAATCCCCGCACCAGCTTCCCAAGCATTGGTTTGCATGAGAGCATGACCACAGATTTGCTCTCCATGCAGGCGTAGGCAGCTCCTGGTGGGCTTGAGCATCCCAAAAATCCCCCGAGAAGATGCTTTGCAGGTGGGGGGGTGCAGAGGAGGACCTCACTCCTGCGCAAGGATCCGGCAGTGCCGTGGCTCCCGGCGCCGAGGATGCCGGGGTATGCACTCACCGACTCCGGCGCCTGCCGGGATGACCCAGTCCCCGGGTTTCAGAGCCGTCACACGACGCCCGACCTCCAGCACTTCCCCGACACCTTCGTTCCCTCCCACGGCCGGCAGCGGGGAGAGGATGGCGTAGGTCCCTGCCGGGAAGCCAGAGGTAAGCTGCAGACCTCATCATACCCCAGAGCGCCCTATCCCAGGAGCCATGTCCGAACCCTCCAAGAGCATCACGCAAGAATTAACATGCAAAAAAGCTGGAGCCGGCACGTTACCTTGGATCATATTGATGTCAGCGGGATTGATGGGGGCTGCCAACATCTTGACGTGGACATCGGAGTCCCTCAGCTCGGCCACCTTGAGGTCCTTTAGTCTGAACAGGGAGACACAAAGGAAAAGTGCATTAATACAGGCTTGGCTGATGTCTTCTGCACCTTGGTTTAAGCTGGAAAGAGATGTCCATATCACATACGCGACACATTAGACTTAAAATAAACAGCACCATATTCCCTATCTCATCTATATAGCTGTAGCCTGGTCTCCTCCAGCAAAGAAACTCAACATCCACCTTAGATGACCCCATCGAGACTCCTCTGTCCCCAGGGAGCAGCAGGTAGCAAAGCCCACATCCACCCCTAAACCTCACACCCTTAGCCGGGGTTAGGAACAAACCCTCAATAGTCCTTGCATAGAAAAAAGCCCCTCCAAGAGGGATGACGTCCCCAACCCCTTTGCCACAAGGCTGTTTTAAATGCGATGAAGATGCTCTTACACCATGGGAGGAGCGGGGCTGGTTAATTTAGCTCGTCTCCCTCCCACAATTGTATCCTCCTGGCATGCACAGCCCTGGGGGAATTGCAATATAAAACTTCTGGGATACCTTGGGTCTTGCAAGGGCGGGGGAAAAGCTCCTCCAGAAAACCCAGCACCACCACGCTGGAAAGAGGAACCGGGAGCTTGATGACTGCCTGACCCATCTCCCAGCCAGGGCAAACCCATCCAGCCATGCCCATTTGCAAGCTGAAGGCAATTTTAACTACATTTAAATGAGCTGGGGGCTCTGCAAAGGCCGCCAATTTTAAGAGCTGTTATTTGCTGCAAATACATGCCACTAACATGTCATTAGGAACAATACGCTAAATTTCTTTTCGTGGCTTGGCTCTGTGCTGGCAAAGGGGTTTCCTCCTTTCTTCCTCCAAGCTGCCCAGCTGATTTGGGGATGACTTCAAGGTTTGAATGAAACAGCACCGTGTGCGTGTCAGAAGGCTTTTAGCACACGGGAATTTGCGTCGCCAGCTGCAGCTCTGGCTACATCTGGTCCTACGTACGCTCCAGCACTGGGTTTGGGTGAGGGCATCAGGCTCCAGCTCTCGCTTTCAGCAGCAGCCACCCAGACAGAAAGCCCCCAGCTTGAATCCTTGCTGAGCATCCTTGCTACACGGGTGCATCCCCAAGCGCAGAAATCCTCTGTCTGCATCATGCAAATCCCCCGCTGCTGTCACTCTGGGTGTCCCAACCTGCACACCTATCTCAGGGACAGGTCTCTGGCTTTTGCAAGTATTTTCCTCTCCTAATTAGCAATTAGGACAATGAGACGTGAGGGAGGCTCCCAGGAGGGTCAAAAAACCTCACTTGGAGAGTTAGGCATCAGCAAGGTGCAGGATATGGCCCTGCAGCCACTGAGCATGACCAAGAGTCCTGACTTTAGTGGATTTTGCTCAAAACCATGCGTTTTTGCCAAGGTTATTAATTACGAAACCAGGTGTGTGTCTAACAACCGAGCAAGAGGCAGCAGTGGCTGCTGTGCAAACCACCTGCCAGAATCAGCAGGATGAAGTCAGTTCCTTGCAAACCTGCTTCAAACCGAACCGCAAGGCTTTGGCAGGAAAACACGGTGACTCCATCCTGTTTAAGGTTTAAAGAAATTAAAAATAAAATAAAAATCAGCATTACAAGACACAGCGACCTATTCGGAGGCATTGCTGCTGATGGGCACCCATGCCTCCCGCTCCCTGGCCCCCAGCAATGCTGTCTCCACGCTGTATGTATTTTTCTGCCTTGTTAGGCAGCAAATTAAATCATTTTGGGGTTTGCCACACTCTGCATGTCTGACTAATTGAAATCCCTTCCTTTTTCTTAAATGAGGTTAAATATTGAAGTTAAAGTTAATACCATGCAGCACCTCCACACAAGCATCAGCTGGGTGCCAGCACCTTGGGCAAGAACCTACCATTCAGATTTCCATTGCATTAAAAAAAATTAGATTTATATTAGACAGACAGACAGATTTTTTTGATGGAGGCTGCTAAAAGCCAACAAACCAACAAAATCCCACATCACCGAGCAAAGTAACGCTCACTAATCTTAACAAATTCAGCAGGTTGTGCAAAAAGCCGCTGTTTCAGCTGGCGGGGGGATTTACGGCTCGTCCTGCCCCGCTTTAGTGTTATGGGAACTCGGGTATTTTCAGAAATCTGCAAAAAAGAGAAGTCATGAAGCACAAGACTGGCCTTGCACAAGCAATGGGGTGAGGGCAGCAAATCTTAGGAGCAGTCAGTGGTGACAAGCACTGTTGCACAATTAAATGGTCATAAGGAGAAGCAACTGTCCATCCCCAAAAAACCCCCGGCGGTTTGGTGTCTGGATGCACCCAGATAACTTATCAGCACCTCCTGCGTTTCTAGGGGTGACCTGAGCCAGTTCAAGCAGGGCAGCAAGTCCTCGAGGTTTCCTCCCTTAAAAAAAATGAGGCATAAAATCTACCAAAATGTGACTTTCCCCTTGCAAAGCTTTTTTGCTGTTTTAGAAAGAAAATCCCGTGCCGCTCCAGAGCGCCAGCCGCTGTCCCCAAAAACCACTCGCGATCCTGGTGGGCGCGACACTGGCTTGGTCCCTTAATTGGGACCTCAAATAGAAACCCCATCAGTGCGATGTGACCCAGGACGAAGAGCCAGCGAGGGCTCAGACCTACCCCATCGTACCCCAAATTCAGCAAAAATGGGCTTCCTGGGAAAAAACCGTGGGTTTAAGGCAAACTGAAGGAACGGCAGCAGGCAGGTGGGGGACGAGGGAAATGGGGGCACCCCCAGGGTCCCTTGGCACGGCCCCGGGGGGGTCCTGCAGGGGGCTGCA